AGAGTGGCGAGGAATAACTGACTCCAACATAGAAGATCAATGTGGTTTCCGACCTTGTCGAAGCACCACTGACCACATGTTTACGTTGCGTCAGACTGCTGAGAAATCATGGGAGTTCGCCCATTAGGTGTACATGTGCTTTGCTGATCTAGAAAAAGCCTATGACCGGATCCCACGGAACAGTCTGTGATGATGCCTGCGAGCAAACAGGATAGATGGCCACTTCATAGAGGTCATCTAATCACTGTGATGTGATAGCAGGTGCTGCGTCACAGTAAATGGCGTTAAGTCGAAGCCTTTGAGCGTTGGCACTGGTCTTCGCCAAGGCTGGGTGCTGTCCCCACTCCTGTTTGTATTGTACATGGATAGAACAGTCAGGCGCAGCGAAGGCGATGAGTTTATCGATATAGAAGATGCTGGAGACGAGAAGGCTGCTTTTGCAGACGACATTGTTTTATTGGCATCTTCTGAGACTTATCAACAATGCTCTCTAGAAGGATTCGTACCAGAGTGCGAAGTGACTGCCATGTATGTGAACGCACCTGAAACAAAAAGCCTAGTGCTCTGTAGTTCTCCTGCTCGTTGCTTTCTTCAGATTAGCGGTGAGGTAGTGGAGCAGATGGAGAGGTTCAAGTACCTCGGAACTGTATTTACTAGTGATGGAAAATTGGCGGAAGAGATCGACCGGCGAATTGGAGTAGACAGTGACGTTCTGCGTGAACTAGCCCGATCCGCTGTGACTAGAGCAGAGCTGGGTCTGAAAACGAAGCTCTCGGTATTCAAGTTGATCTTTGCGCTCATGCTTACATAGGTCATGAGTCGTGGACCAAGAATGAAAAGCTTCGACGCCGGGTAGAAGCTACTGAAATGGCCTTTGTTAGACGAGTTGCTGGCCTTACGCGTCTCGACATGGTCCGGAATACTGACATCCTGATGAACCTTGGTGTACAGCCTTTGCTTCTCTAGACTGAGAAAACACAGCTGTGATAGTTTAGGTACGTGTTGCGAACGCGCCCGGAAAGGAAGGATAAGCAACCGTTTCTTGCCCAACCGATCGGGGGAAGGCCAAGATTAAGCTGGTACAAACATATGGAAGGAGTCTCCTCCATATTCCTGCTGTCTTCTGTCGAAGCTGGGACTCTGGCACAGGATTGAAAACGTTAGAAGCACTGTCTGACTCGTCTGCCTCCGCGACCCGAAAGGAGAAGCGGTCATGGAAGATGAAGGTGAAGAGTCGAGATTCATGCGGCAAAAATAGCGTCTAGTGTTCTGTTTGCCTCCCGCAGAGCGGTAGGAAACTCGGAAGGAAAAATGGCGAGTGAGCGCGACAGACTTGAACTCGGGACCTACTGATTCTGAGTTCGACGTATACCGACTGAACAACCATGGTCGAGGGAAACTTGCCGGAAATTCGGCAAGTTTCTTTGGTTCCAGACTATCTGGAATAAAATCGCAAAATGTTCCTACAAACAAGAAATAAGAAGTCTATAATGCAAGCAGTAATTATGACAAAAAACCCCAAGCGTTTCACGCACCTGTGTAGTAAATCAGTGGTAGAATTTGTGAACATGTCACAGATCAAGCTTTAAACATTAACAGCCGAAAAATAGATGGACACTTAGATACATAAATGTAGTGACAAATTACTTAGAACTGAAATTCAGAGACTCTTTTACCACCAATACGCATGGCAAAGAACGCCAGGCGACCGGCAATGAGATATGTGAGGCTTGCAAACGGCAAGTTCGCTCAGCTGGGGCTTATCGCTTCGTGTCGCACCGCGCAGCACGTACAAATGTCGCGATGGACAATCATCATTCGGTAATCTTTCATAATGTGCCACCAGAAAAACGTTGACAACTGAACTTACCAATACGTTTCTGGTCGGGCAGCAGTGCTGAAGTTGCATGCCGAGTACAGTCATAATTGTGATCAGTACCCGTAGTATATGACACACAACCGCTATCACAAGCTAAAAACAATAACATAATTCATACGTATACACACGGTAAACGCAAGCAACAGTCGGAAAAACATCGACACGACGGCGGTACCGGCGCGCCAGCGTGCGTGCACGTGCACAACCGAGCATTTACATTGCGCGCGTGGTGCGCGTGCGCCGCACGTG